CCCAGAAGTTTAGGAGGCCAAGATATGTGGATGACCTGAACTCAGGAATTCAAGACCAGCCCAACCAATATGGTGAAACACCGTCTTGACTAAAAATACAAAAATTAGCTGGACATAGTGGCACGTGCCTACAGTCCCAGCTACTCGGGAAGCTGAGGCAGAAGAATTGCTTAAACTCGGGAGGCGGAGGTTGAAGTGAGTTGAAATCACACCACCGCACTTCAGCCTGGCCTAGAAGGCAAAACTCTATCTCAAAAAAAGAAAGAAAAGAAAAGAGTCCCAATAGTCCCTAGGTCCAGCCCATGCTCAAAAGGAGAGGATTATACAGGACATGAATATGAGGAGGCTGTTTGCCACAGTCCTCAAAGACATCCGCACTCTGCCCTCTCACAACATTTTGAGAGGCTGAGGCAGGAGGATTGCTTGAGGCCAGCAGTTGGAGACCAACCTGAGCAACATAGGGAGCTCTGGTCTCTGCAAAAAATACACAAAATTAGCCAGGTGTGGTGGTGCATGCCTGTTGTTCCAGCTACTTGGGAGGCTGAGGAGGGAGGACTGATTGAGCCCAGGGGTCTTGGGACAGGGGTGTGGGTGAGGCTGCAATGAGTCGACATTGCCCCACTGCACTCCCATCTGGATGAGAGTGAGACCCTGATTCAAAAAAAAAAAAAAAAAAAAAAAAATCCTCACTCTGCATCCCTAATGGCCGTGTTGGCCAGGATGGTCTCCATCTCTTGACCTCGTGATCTGCCCGCGCTCCTTCCCCCTTGCTGCGTCTCCTCCATCTCTCCATCTTCAGCTCCTGCCCTCTCCTGGCATGGGGCGGGGCAGTGGTTGTGGGCTCCTCCTCCAGCTGCTGCGGAGGAGCAGCAGTGCAGTTCACGCTCTGGATTGGCAGTGGCAGGTGCCGCGCTCGGCGACCCCTGTAGGCTGGTGTGGGCGCCGCCCGGGGGTCGCCGCGGTGCTCGTCGCTGCCCAGCGCCCCGCCTGGGGGTCGCGGTGGCGCCGCCTGGAGGTCGCCGCGGTGCTGGTCGCTGCCCAGCGCCCCGCCTGGGGGTCGCGGTGGCGCCGCCTGGAGGTCGCCGCGGTGCTGGTCGCTGCCCAGCGCCCTGCCTGGGGCTTCCTCGGTGAGTCGCTGCTGCCCCCTCCCGGGGCGGCGGGCCCGGGTCACGCGAGCCGCATGTTCTCGCGAGGCGCTTCCGCCCCTCAGGGAACTCAGCGGTGCAGGCCGGGAGGGGCTGCCGTACGGGTCGCCATGTTCCCCGCGGGGCCGGAGGGGCTCTGGCCTTAGGCCGCTCACCCCGCTGCAGCCACCGCCTCCCCCTTCCCACAGCAGAAGCAGGCGATGGAGGGCCCTCCAGGCAGGAGGCGCCGCGGCTCCCCCAGCAGCGGGCAGGGCGGAGGAGAAAGACGCCAGGAAGCGGAAGGTTCCCGCCGGCCAAGGGTCGCCCAGGGCTGCGCCCCCTGAGTCCTGCCCGCCAGCAGCTGCTGGGACCCTCCCTGCCACGTTGCTCCCCGAAAAGCTCTAAGGCTTTCAGAACTGCAGAGAGAGACCCTTCTTCCTCACTGTGAGTCTGCAAACTCGGGGCCAGGTATTTTCTGCATATTCTTAAATAGGATGCTTCAGTCAAAGGTTGATGTAGAACCCCTCTTTCTGATTATTGCCTGCTGATACAGAGAACATATGAACATGAAAATAAGAATATTTATAAATAGTTTTTGCCAGAGGCGGTGGCTCACACCATTAATCTCAGCACTTTGGGAAGCCGAAACGAATAGATCACGAGGTCAGGAGTTCGAGACCAGCCTGACCAACATCGTGAAACGCGTCTCTACTAAAAAACACAAAAATTGTCCGGGCGCGATGGCTCACGCCTATAATCCCAGCACTTTGGGAGGCTGAGGCGGGTGGATCTCGAGGTCAAGAGATCGAGACCATCCTGGTCAACAAGGTGAAACCCCATCTCTACTAAAAAAAAATACAAAAATTAGCTGGGCATGGTGGTGCGTGCCTGTAATCCCAGCTACTCGGCAGGCTGGGGCGGGAGAATTGCTTGAACCCAGGAGGCGGAGGTTGCGGTGAGCCGAGATAGTGCCATTGCACTCCAATCTGGGTAACAACAGCGAAACTCTGTCTCAAAATACACACACACACACACACACACACACACACACACACAAAATTAGGTGGGCTTGGTGGCAGGTGCCTGTAGTCCCAGTTGCTCCGGAGGCTGAGGTGGAAGAATCGCTTGAACACAGGAGGCAGAGGTTGCAGTGAGCTGAGATCACACCACTGCTGCGCTCCAGCTTGGCGACACAGCAAGATTTCGTCTCAAAAAAGAAAAAAAAGGATATTTATGAATAGTTTCCAAATTTTGGAGGAATCAAGAAGGGAGAGGAAAAACAAATGCATCCACCCACCTTTGTTCACAAAATTGTGGTTTACCAAATCAGTGTAAATTATAGATGACTTCTAAGAAATACGTTTCTTAAATCTAGAAAACAAAACAAATAAAGGGCCGGGCGCAGGGCTCACACCTGTAATCCCAGTACTTTGGGAGTCCCAGGCAGGGGGAGGGAGGAGGAAGGGGGAGGGGAAGAAGGGGCTGAGATCACCTGAAATCAGAAGTTTGCAACCAGCTTGACCTAATATGATGAAACCCCGTCTCTACTAAAAATACAAAAATTAGCTGGACATAGTGGCACGTGCCTACAGTCCCAGCTAGTCGGGAAGCTGAGGCAGAAGAATCGCTTGAACTCAGGAGGCGGAGATTGTGGGGAGCCGAGATTACACCACTGCACTCCAGCCTGGGCGACAGAGTGAGACTGTCTCAAAAAAAAAAAAAAAAAGGAATAAAAATGTTTTAAATACCTGCTACAAAAACATTATCTTAATAGATTTTTTTTCTTGATCTTGCTTATCAGTTTTTTGAACCCTTAGGTTTCCTTATTAGAGTTCTAGAAATTGGTTTTTAGTCCATTGATTTTTATTTTCGTTTTTGAGACTGCGTCTCACTCTGTCGCCCAGGCTGGAGAACAGTGGCACAATTTTGGCTCACTGCAATCTCCACCTCCCAGATTCAAGCTATTGTCATGCCTCAGCCTCCTGAGTAGCTGGGATTACAGACATGAACCACCACACCTGGCTAATTTTTGTGTTTTTAATAGACATGGGGTTTCACCGTGATGGCCAGGCTGATCTTAAACTCTTGACCACAAGTGATTCACCTGCCTTGCCCTCCCAAAGTTCTGGGATTACAGATGTGAGACCCTGCACCCAGCCCATTGATTTTTAAAAATATATTTATTTGTAATGTGTTGAAGGGGTATAAGTGCGAGTTTCTTACATGCCTGTCATAGTGATGAAGCCTGGGTAGTTCATTGATGTGAGTTATCAGAAACCTGTGTTCAAGAGGGCTCCTCAGCATTTTTTTCATAAAAGGCAAATCTGGGTGCAGGGCTCGGTGGCTCATGGCTGTAATCCCAGCACTTTGGGAGGCTGAGGCTGGTGGATCATGAGGTCTAGAGCTCAAGACCAGCCTGGCCAAAATGGTGAAACCCTGTCTATACTGCCACCAATTAGCTGGGCATGGTGGCAGGAACCTGTAGTCCCAGCTACTTTGGAGGCTGAGACAGGAGAATCACTTGAACCCAGGAGGCAGAGGTTCCAGTAGAGTAGGTGTCCAGCCAAGGTGACAGAGTGAGACTCTGTCTCAAAAAAAAGAAAAAGAAAATTTGGACTATTGCTGATTACAAATATTTTTAGAGTAGAATTCAAAATGGTGACTGTGGATGATGGAAACAGTAGTTATGATGAGAATTGATGAAAGTTCCCAATTCACAAGAAAACTTAATTTCTTATTTTATGTGCAGCATTTTAAGACAGTAACCAGAATCATGACTGACATCATCACATCAGGACCACCAGACCGTTTTTTGTTTGTTTTTGAGATGGAGTCTCACTCTATTGCCCAGGCTGGAGTTCAGAAAGGGGGTGGGGAAGATTTTAAAATATATATATATATATATATATATATATATATGTATTTTGAGACAGAGTTTTGCTCTTGTTTCCCAGGTTGGAGTGCAATGGTGTAATATTGGCTCACCACAACCTCCACTTTCCAGGTTTAAGTGATTCTCCTGCCTCAGCCTCCCAAGTAGCTGGGATTACAGGGATGCTCCACCACACCTGGCCAATTTTTTATTTTTAGTAGACATGGGGTTTCTCCTTGTTGGTCAGGCTGGTCTCAAACTCCCAACCTCAGGTGATCCGCACACCTCACCCTCCCAAAGTGCTGGGATTACAGGCATGAGTCACCATCCCTGGCCTAAGTAACAACATGTTTTAAAAAGCCACATTGTCCTACATAACCCATTTCTCTTGCATATTTAGGAAATTGAGGGTTTTTTCCTAAAACATGCTGACATATGGGAAATAGGATGCAAAATGTTCATGAATGCTTTAGACACAGTTTGAGGTTTCCGAGAGATTTTGTGCTGGGGAGGCTGCTTGCTACAAGCTCCTAAAGCTATGAGAAGACATGGTATTCATCCTCCCTCAGCAGAGGTGGTGAGGCGATAAGCCCTGCGGCATGCCTGAGCCTTGGGCTTTTAGCATAGAGTGTTCAGGTCTTTATTGTTTGGGCCCATGGCACAGAGAGGTCCTGGGTCTCTGGCTTCCTGTGACCTTTGCCTTCCTTGCCAACAGAAAATGTGACCCTGCAAAGCAAGAAACTTGAGGGCATGGGGGCATAGGCGGTCACTGCTCTGTGGATCACCCAGCTGTGTCAGGCAACCTGAACCCCGTCTGCAGGAATTCCAGGACGAAAATACAAAAGTCTTTTCATGAGCACTAAGAGGGCAGATGCAGTAGGAACCTCCAGGCAGTAACTACCAGTCTGGGACTTGCGGTGGAGAGAGAGCATATTGGCGATCATGTGTACTTACACTCTAGGGTCACCAGGCGGCACTGTGGCCTCATCTGTGGCTCTGAAAAGGAAGATTTGGAAAGAGATCATCACAGCTAATGTTTAAAAAGTCCCTACTATGTGCCAAATCATTCAGCCCTGGCAACAACTTAAGGAGCTAGGGATTCTTATTATCTATATTTTATAGCCAAGGTAATGGAGACATAAAGAGGTGAATTATCTTGCCCAGATCACTCAGCTAATAAGTAGTGGAGGCTGAATAGAACCTAAACAGTGTGGCTGTGGAGCCTACATGCATTGATTCCACACGTGTTTATTGAGCACCTGCCATGTACAAGGCCCTGTGTGATTAAATACAGTTAGGATTAATAATGTAACAATGACAAATCACCGACACTTTTTAGAGGTAAGATTTTCTTTTTTTTGTAAGTTTCAGTCACAGAACTGTGTATGCAATAATAGTGAAATTGATCCCACTAGTTATGACAGAAATGATGATACATTTAAATGAGTTGGATGTTTTAGAGATATTGTCTCCTGAATCCTTGACAGAAACTGAATGAGGAATGAAATTTATTGTTCCCATTTCACACAGAAGGAAACTGAGGTAAAGAGGGGTAAAGTAATTTTGCATGGCATGAAGTAGAAATTCAAAGTACAGGAATTTGAACTTGGTTCTGACCTTTTCTGAGGCCCCCATGCTCTTGACCACTGTAGACTCAAGCATCACCTTGTTTTTCCACTCATTCAACAAACATTTTTTTTAAATTGTCTAATAGGTTGGCACTCATCATGAACTTCTGTTCCTGTTCTGCACATGGCGAAGCCCTCTATTGTCCTGACCCCACAGTACCTGTCCCATGACCAGGGCCAGCTCACCAAGGAGCTGCAGTAACAGCACGTAAAGTCAGTGCCATCCCCCATGTGAGCACCTGAGGAAGGTGAGTGAGTGCAGACAGATAGGGCCTGGAGCCCTTGAACAGTTCCTGGTCCTGGCTGCCCCACGTCTCACAGGGGGCCATGCTGGGGGAAGCGTAGGCTGTCACAGTTCTGGCTTTCCCTCCTTTTTCCTTCCATACAAGTGTCTTAGGGATGGGGCAGACTAGTTGACTTATTTGGATAAAAACTGCTATCTTGTGTCAGAAACTCAAAAGGAATCACTGCTGGCATGTTAACCTAAAGAAAAACAACCAGACAAGTGCCCAATGATACTTAAAAAGGCTATTTATTTATTTATTTGAGACAAAGTCTTGCTCTCTTGTCCAGGCTGGATGGAGTGCAATGGTGCGATCTTGGCTCACTGCAACCTCTGCCTCCTGAGTCCAAGCGATTCTCCTGTCTCAGCCTCCGGAGTAGCTGGAACTATAAGCATGTGCCACCACACCTGGCTGATTTTTGTGTTTTTAGTAGAGAGGGGGTTTCACCATGTTAGCCAAGCCGGTATTGAACCCCTGACCTCAGGCAATCCTCTTGTCTCATCCTCCCAAAAGTCTGGGATTACAGGGGTGAGCCACCGCGCTTGGCCTAAAGGTTACTTATTATCCTGCAAAGTTTAGGCTGGGTGTGGTGGCTCATGTCTGTAATCCCAGCACGTTGGGAGGCAGAGGTGGGTGAATCACCTGAGGTTAGGAGTTCACGACCAGCCTGACCAGTATGGTGAAACCTCATCTCTATTAAAAATACAAAAATGAGCCAGGGTTTGTGAAAAGAGGGTGGGCGTCTGTGTCCAGTCAGTGTGATGGGAGCTGAGAAGCCCATCAGATGGAGAAGAAAAGGCTGCACCTGCTGGGAGGTTTGCAATATGGAAGTCACTAGGAGTGACATGACCAGGATGTGAATGAGGACTGTATTGTCCTTTGTTTTATAAAATGTGTATGGTGCAGATCATTGATTGACCCAAAGGAGAAAGGATCTTAAAGTCCTTATGTTATCCAAACATAAAGAAATGACAGGCCAGGTGTGGTGGCTCACGCCTGTAACTGGGAGGCTGAGGCCGGCAGATCAGTTGAGGTCAGGAGTTCCAGACCAGCCTGACCAATATGGTGAAACACTGTGTCTACTAAAAATATAAAAATTAGCCAGGTATGGTGGCAGGCGCCTGTAATAACAGCTACTAAGGAGGCTAAGGCAGGAGAATGGCTTGAACCCAGGTGGCAGAGGTTGCAGTGAGCCGAGATTGTGCCACAGCACTCTAGCCTGGGCGACTGAGAGGGATACTGTCTCAAAAAAAAAAAAATTTGTGTGTGTGTGATTTTTTTTTTTTTTTTTGAGTCAAAGTCTCCCTCTTGTCTCCCAGGCTGGAGTGCAATGGCATGATCTTGGCTCACTGCAACCTCCGTCTCCCTGGTTCAGGCGATTCTTCTGCCTCAGCCTCCCAAGTAGCTGGGATTCCAGGCACCTGCCACCACACCTGACTAATTTTTGTATTTTTGGTAGAGATGAGGTTTCACCATGTTGTTGGCCAGGCTGGTCTGGAACTCCTGACCTCAAGTGATCCGCTAGCCTCAGCCTCCCAAAGTGCTGGGATTACAGGCATGAGCCACTGCCCCTGGCCCTTCTGTGATATTTTTTAGATCATCAGCTATTGTTAGTGTTAATGTATTTTATGTGTGGCCTAAGACAAGTTTCCTTCTTTTAATATTGCCCAGGGAAGCCAAAAAATTGGATATACCTGCTTTACGTCAAAAAAAAAAAGAAAAGACACTGTACATTTGGAATGCCTAAAAACACTACCAGCCATGCAAAAAACATGAGACTGGTGACTTCCAATCTTTTTTGAAGCAGTGGAATCCCCTGGTGATATCTAAGGGGTGTGGTTACCTCTTGGAGGAGGTTGATGTTTTCTAAAGATATTATTTTTTACTGAAATATTGTAAATGTCATTGACATTTTTTATTATTTCAACTATTATTGTTCCAGGTGATCAGTTTTCCACCTGATTATTTGTATCCTGGGCATGACTTTCTTGGCATTCTGTGGATGCTTATCACTATTGTGTTTCTGGCTGTTTCCACAGTTGGCCTCTTCCTCCGAAAAATTAGCTTGTATGAGAGTATACTAACTTCGTGTAGAGGTATACTTGTAATCACATAAAAGAAATTATTTAAAACAATTCATGATTCTGGACTTTATTATGAATATTGGGTTTTACCAAAAACATCAGGGAAATGATTTATTAGCATAAGAATTATAAAAATGTCTGCCATTTACATTATGAAAATTAAATAGGTTGGTGTTTATTTAATAGAATGTCGACAGAGCTTTGGGTCAAAAATAAGTTGTTGTTTTTTTTAACCTTTATGCTCTTTATCAGAAATGGAGTATGAAGTTTTGGCACTTAAATAGGAAATTCTGTCTAAACTTTTCTGCTTTATAATTCTATTGTATGGCTGGATGGAAAGCTTTCACTTTCCTCTCTAAAGGTTCACTGTAGGAATGAACTAACAACAGACAGCTTAACAGGAAAATAAAAAGATAGAACAGGCATAACCATGGGAGCCAGCCAAAAAAGGAGACTGCAAGAAGGGTCAGATAGTTGATGGTTGAATAGCGCTCTCTTCTCAGGAGAGAGGGAGATAGATGGAGCTGGAGGCAGCTTAGAGGAGGCGTAAGTGATTTTTAGGAGAAATGAAAGAGCCCAAGGAACAAACAGTTGGCCTGAGACAAAGTTCCTTTGAGATCATAGGGAAGAGGCGACAAAGTGCAGGAAGGTGAAGGGCAGAGCTGCACTGCCTCTGATGATGCAGAGAGAGCCCCAGAGAATCTGTTGGAACTGTCCTTCAGAGAATCAATGAAGAGTGTGTCTGGGCATGGTAATTTCGATTGATGTCACTCAAAGTGCATATTCCCGTTTGCAGGTGGAGAGGGATCAGAATGTCCAAAGTCTGTACTCGATAGGAATTTGGCTGCTAAGTTGTGCCATTATTTGAGCCTTTTTGTCCATTGGGTAAATTGAGCTGTACATTTTCTCTTGCTGTTCATGACAGTAAAAATGTGGTTGGCTGGGGGCTGACCCTCCTTCTGAACAATGATCCAAGAAAAAAGCACCAATCCCACAATGCTGTTTTATATTCAAGGGAAGAGGAAGTATGTTTTATTTTTGCAGCCTAATTACCCGCCATTTGGGACTGCCTTTCAAGATATGTAGAAAACAGAAAATAGATGACTTATGAAGATATCTAGGCACATTTAACTGTCTATCCTTTTTTTTTTTTTTTTTTTTTTTTTTACTCTCTGGCAAGTGGGAGGAGGAAAAAGAGGGTGGTGAGGCGGGTACAGGGGGGCAAGCAGGAGAGAGAGAAGATTTGCAAAAACAGTTGAAAGAAAAGAAAGGGAAAGAAGACGATGGGTAAAATGACTTTGGGTAGATGGAGGTGGGGGGAAAAGCGGGGCAAGTGGGAGGAGAAAAGGGGGTGCAGAGGGAGGGGGAAGAGTGGAGAGCAGGAGGGAGAGGAGGTTTTGGGAAAGATGAGGCGGAAAGTTTTTAAGTGGATGGGGAAAAGAGGGTGGCAAGTGGGAGAAGGATAAAGTGAGCAGGAGTGGGGAAAGAGGGTTGGGAAAAAGACAGGGAAAATTGTTTGGGGTATCTGGAGGACAAAAAGTGTGGAAAGCAGGATAGGGGAAAGAAGAGGGCGAGCGAGAAGTGAAGAAGGCTTTGTGAAAAGATGGTGGGCAAAAATTTGGGAGGTAGATGGGGAAAAGAGGGTGGTGAGCAGGAGTAAGGAGAAGGGTTTGTGAAAAGAGGGTGGGTAAATGTTTTTGGGTAGATGGAGAAGGGAAAGACGGTGGCAAGGAGGAAGGGGAAAAACAACGGGGAAAACAGCTTTGAGTAAGTGAAGGGGGAAAAGAGGTGGTGAGCAGCAGGAATGGGGAGAAGACTTTGAGAAAATATGGGGGAAATGTTTTGGGTTAGATGAAGGAGCAAAAGAGGGTGGCAAGAGCAGGAGAGGGGAAAAGAAGGTGGCCAGGGAAAGGGAGAAAAGACGGTGGGGAAAAACAGTGAAGAAAAGTTTTTGGGTACATGAATGGTGAAAAGAGTAGTGAGTGGGAGAATAGAGAAGGCTTTTCAAAATAACAGTGGGGAAATGGTGAAAACGTTT